GTGGTCCCAGCTACTCGGGAGGCTGAGGCAGGAGGATCGCTTGAGCCCAGGAGTTTGAGGTTGCTGTGAGCTAGGCTGACGCCACGGCACTCGCCCCAGGCAACACAGTGAGACTCTGTCTCAAAAAAAAAAAAAAGCCTCCACTGGTTTTTGGTCCTGACATATATTTATTTAGTGTCGAAAATGATGACTTTTCACCATTTCCTTTCTTATAGTTCCATGATTCTTAAAATGATAATTTCATTTATACACAGCAAAAAGTTCACAAAACCTTTTAGCACTGTTCACATTTTCACATTTCTTTAGAAATACAGCTAGTTGATTTTCTTCTGATTTCTTCCATTTTTGGAATCCCACATGATTATAATGTTGAAGTATACCAAGAAGAATAGGAAGTTCAAGCAGGACACAAAACACACCAATACAGAAAATAAGTCCGGTAATTTCTGAGGAGGATCCAGTGTGGCAGTCATCAGCGTCAGAAGGACCATAGTGATTACTGAGACAAGAAACTATAAGGGAGCGGGGGAAAGTATTATTAAGTAGTATAGAAGGTGAAACTTAATGTACTGATAACACTGATTTATAGCTATTAAAGGAACAGAATTTAAGGTGAGGGTTGAGGGTCCAATCTCTGCTGATAGATCTCAACTCTGGCTTTACATTAGAATCACATGAGGGGTTTTAAAAATCTCAGACCAATAAGATCAGAACCTCTGGAGCTGCCCTCAGTACTTTTCAAAGCTAAGTGATTCCCATGTGTAGCCAAAGCCTGAGAACACCTGTCTCATATTAATACTTCATACCACCCGGGCACTGAAGAAAGGTATCTGGGATAGATGTTACTGCTAGTCAGGGTTAAATTCATGGCATCCCCTTGGAGCCCTGGGTCCCTATAGGATATAAAATTATACGCTAATGAGTACAAATATACAGTTAGAAGAAATAAAACCTAGTGTTTGATAGGTCAGTAGGGTGAATACAGTTACTCTACTATACATTTCAAAATAGCTAGAAAAGAATAATTCGAATTTTCCTAGCATAAAGAAAAGATAAATATTTAAGGTGATGGAAATCCCAATTACCCAGATTTGATCTTTACTTATTATCTGAATGTATCAAGTTATCACACGTACCCCAAAAATATATACATCTATTATGTATCAATTTGCAAATTCCAAGCTAATCCTGAGAACTCGTCTATGAAAAAGTTTTCCATGGCAAATGGAAAGTTACATTTCATATCCACTGAATGCTTCCAATGAGCTAATGCTATATATAGTAAAGAACAGTGGAGTATATGAAAGAAAATGTAGTCATCTGGCCTCAAAGAGTTTTCCATTTAATTAGGAGAATTTTAAATAAGATTACAAGGTCACATTTGATTAAATGCCAAAATGAGCAGTAAAAATAATTATCACATTTATGTAATTGTGTAGTCAGTTTTCTTCTCTAGACCAGTGTGCTGTACAATAGAACTTTCTGCAGTGATGGAGGTGATCTATATCTGTATTCCAGTACAGTAGCTGCTAACCACATGTGGCTATTAAGAATTTAACGTGTGCCTACTGTGACTGAGAAACTGAATTTTTAATTTTATTTAATTTTAGTAAGTTTAAATTTCTACATGTGTCTAGTGGCTACTGTACCAGTTTAGCTCTAGACTGTAAGCTCCTTTAAGGACCAGCCAGATCTTAATTGTTTCATCCCTAGCATAGTACGTAAGTAAGTATACAAAAGCTGTGTAAGTAAACATAGAAAGCTGTGAGAAACAGTAGTAATGTTCATGAAAGAAGTGAAACATAAATGAAACCCTAAAAAATGCTTTAATGGCTACATCATGGCAGTATTGGTAAGATCTGAATAGAGAGTAATGCAGCAGTCATTCCAGATGGAAGAGTGAGAAAGATGGGGGCCAAAAAGCCTTACAAACAGGTATAAATAGGCTGCAGGTATCCTCAGAGGGAAAATCCCTGAAGCAACCTTAGTGGGAAGTGAAAATTTCAGTTGATTGTCAAAAAGGGTGCCAAGATAATTCAGTGGAACTGGGACAACTGAATAAAGTTGGACTCCTACCTCACACCACATACAAAATTAACTCAAAATGAATCAAAAGCCGAAATATAAAAACTAAAAGTATAAAACTCTTAGAAGAAAATATAGGAG